GACGGCGAAACTTGGCCGCGACGGAGTGAAAAGGTGAGACAGAGACAGGTGCGGAACTGGTCGGAACGCCGGTATACCCCTCTCAGAGTAGCTTCCTCTTTTCGAAGGCATGACCTCATCGCGTTGCTGAACGCTGCGATGCCGTTCTCGAAGATGTCGGCCTCCGATAACGGGATGAACGCGCGTGTGAGAACGCAGCATGAAGATCCGCGGACGTACGCGAAAAACGTTTCACAACGTTTCATCACTGTGCTGCAATAATTTTGTAGAATAATTTTGTAGAAGTTGGATAATGAATCGGTATCCATTCGTCAGATGCAGGATGATAATATTGCGGTAAGGGGGAAAATTAAGATTGGTGGAACAATAATTGAGAGGTATTATGATTGGATAGAAAAGTGATGGAAGTTTATTTCAACTTCCACTTCGAAAGTGCATTACTATACGTATATCTATAATGAAAACAGACTTCCGTACTCGCGTACTCGGTCACATCGATTCGACGCCACGAGTTATACGCGTTTCCAACTTTCCAGTCATGTCGGTTCCACCGATATTTTTCCAACTTTCCAGTCATGTCGGTTCGCGGTGTCTAAACACAGATCTTACCTCGTTTCCTTCGAAAGAGAAACTTTCCGCTTCTCCCCCCAAACTCTACGAGCAACGAGTAATTACTTTCGACCGTACACAATCGACTTCGTGTATTAGCCTTGAAACCACAACGCGTAAGTTCGCGTAATTGTTCAAAAACAATGGGAGAGGATATATTATTCCGAACAGCCGAGCAGCTAAGTGTACAACTTTCGCGCTTATCTATTACCAGGTATGCCGGCTCGAAACATGTGCTCGTTCAACAAACGCGGATTGTACGCTCGTGGCGGCTTGATTTCGAGCGCGTTCCGCGACAAAATGTCAGAGCCCGTGTAAACGCGCCCTAACAGCCTGTGTCACTTTCCTGAACTGAACCGTGCATGCCGGTTTTAATACACCGAATTGCATCGCGGCGGTTTCTCTCGAGTATAGGTGGGTATACACTATTTTCGACGGAGGGAAGATCCTCTCTACGTTTCAAGGCGGAAACGCATTCCACGGTGCAAGAAATCGGCCGGATCTTGAAATCCTTTCAGGCGTAGACGATGTTCCCTCCGTTTGAATACCGTTTCTACGGAAGAGGCTCGATTCCTCGAGCATTTGAAGCATTCCATAGCAATTCGCGATTCGATAAACTGGAGATCATCCCGGGATCGGAATTATTTTGTATTTCTATCTAAATTTCAACCGTGGTTTTAATTAGTTTCTGGATGAGGATTGAAATACCATTCTTGTTGCAAGAGTTTTGTTGGAAATTTATAACTTTTTAAATACTTCTTCTTATATATCTATAAATTCTATAAATTCTCAATCTCAATGATTAACGATAAATTGAATGAAACATTTTTGGTACAAATTCTGTTTTTTGTAGTGATATTCATTATTCTCAAATTTTTTTATATCGAAAAGTACACTGTTTTTAATTAGTCGAGATGTAGACAAAGAGCAGCGTTTGAAAAGTAACGACGATGGATGGAAATTTCAGCTTTTGGATTTTTGGATTTTTTATAAAACCTGTCTCTCCAATGTGTTCACTTTTCAGCATCTATAATGCCCTACGTCTTAACAATGTTTTTCAACTTCTGAAAGTATCATCCGTTTAGTTACATAATAAACTAAGTTGTAACTTCACTCTCCCCCGAGATATTTCATAACTTCAAAAAGTGTATTGAGTTCTTTTAGGAAAATATATTATAATATTATAATATTTTCTTAGCCTCAGTTTTGTCTATAAAGTCAAAATTTAATATAAATTTCTTTCTCAAAGTTTTCATTCATCATCTTTGGATATTTAAATATTTTGTCAACAATACTTTGTTACTCGTTTAAAATAATTGGTAATGGATGATATTCAATCACACCTTTCACGAATATTGATCTCATTGATCGAAGTAAAAATGTTTTACATTTCTTCCTAGCCTATATTCACGAAAATAATTTAATTAATTTAAAGAGAACTGCTGAGTGATTCCAACAGGCAGTGGATTATTACAATTATCGTATTACCACGTCATTGCTAAGAAATAAAAAAAAAATTCTTAATTGTGAATGAACTGATTTTCGCGTAGAAAATCCCGAGATTTTTCACGGTTTGCGTTAACTTTAAGCGCTTTGATCGTTCAACGTTGATAGTTGCAATGGCGGCAATATCAGCGATATTCGATTTTCCGGCGCAGCGGTCGTCGGGTCGTTTCCGGTCGTTTCTAAAAAAAATATACGCCGCATGATGGAGCGCAATTTTTGTTCGAAGCGGGAGCGAACAGGTGGCCTGTGTCTCGAAAGCTAATCGAAACGCTGGTTTTCGAAATGTGTAAAAAAAAAAAAAAAAAAAAAAAATATCCCCACTGGGTAAAAATAGAAAAAAAAACAATTTTAAGTTTTTTTTTTAAATTTTTGAAAATCAACAAAACCCGGGGTTTTGGAAATGGGAAAAAAAAAAAAAAAAATATCCCCACTGGGTAAAAATAGAAAAAAAAACAATTTTAAGTTTTTTTTTTAAATTTTTGAAAATCAACAAAACCCGGGGTTTTGGAAATGGGAAAAAAAAAAAAAAAAAAAAAAAAATATCGTCACTGTGTACACATAGTATAGAACAACACTTTACGATTGATTTTTCAAATTTATTTGCATCAATTATTGCGAAGATTATTCGTTATTTGTATTTTCGTTTAAAGAAAAAAATGGATTTGAAATTGAACTAACCAAAGTAATATTTCAATATTCTTTTCTTTTTTTTTTTTTTCCCTATCTTTGGTGATGGTTCGATTATAATTATATTAGAATTTGTATGATAGATTAATGGAGTTCAGTTAAGGTTAACTCACCTGTTATTTTTGGCGTTGGAAAGGTCAGCGATCGTTCTGTAACAAAAATACGTACATTCGGTTTTAACTTCTTCGAGGAACATAATTATTGTAACGTATAATATTACAATTTATTTATTGAATTTTATATTTCTTCCATAAATGTAAAGAGGAACAACTATCTATATCAGCAGCAATTAAATACGTCATATATTATATTAAATTATTAATTTATCCTCTAATTAATTATATAATCAATGTTTCAAATTATTGTCAATTCCATTTCATAATAATCAATAATATTAATTTTCATTATATTTTCATTCGCTGTAATATTTATTTATTTTTAGTATATCCTAATATATACGTGTATAGTGTATAACGATACAAATAAACATAAATAGGATATAGTTCGAAAACAATTTTATATCATTATATCGATACAATATTTATTTATTTTTTTTTTATTTCGTTAAAATATTTCAAAATTTATTTAATTATCGCGAGTATCAAATATTCCAGATCACAATAACTCAGAAAGCTGGCCAAGTATAATTTATTGCGTATAATCTAGCTTCATCACTTAGCTTGCAACTAGGTTAGTGGACGCGAGCTCATCATCTACACAGGAAGCCTTGTACTTTCCAACTACGTGGGGGTAACTTAATTTGCGATACTTCCATCCCGAAAACCAATGTGTCCAATAATGAACGGGTGAATATTGCGTGTCTATTGTTCGTTCCAATGATCTTGGAATAGTTCTATAATAGATCGAGTGGCGGCGCTGTCATCGTTGAACAAAAATCGAATACATTATATTATATGTCGAAACGTTTTCGATCTTGAATTTTTGTTATCTGAATTGGATAGTAATGCACGGAGCAATTAATATTCTTTAGTGATTACACAACGATAAAATTAGGTGTTTATCGATGAAACGTTGTAAGAGATAATAACGGGTTTAATTGTTTCCAATTTGGCAAATTGAAACTGAAGTTGAGATTAAAATGAAATTTCATGGTGCATGAGGCCAATACGTGTTTGTTGTTGCCCAACTATTGTTTGTATTGCGAATTTTAACTCGATATTGCAAGACAGCAAAGTGATTGTTTCACGGTAGTGGCACGATGAATTATCTGGTCGAATGTGACGATTGAATTAATAAATTAATACATTTACAAAAGTTTTTTTTTATCATTAATTTCAGATTCGGATGTAAAATTAATTTGAATTAAATATCTCGAATTAAAAAATTCTATCTTCCCTCCTTTCAATTGAATAAATAATTTAAAAAAATTTTAATCACGAAAATGAATTATTATACAACGTAAATATTTCGAGAAAGAAAGGATATTTAATATGGATTAAAGATTCTTAAAATTTCGTGATAATTCAATTTGAATTCAATGTTTAAACAACAATGTTCTTTTTATACCTTTCAGAATTGTTTGAATAATAATTTTGTCTAGCATCTAGGGCTTTATTCGTGCCCTGTCCCAAGGTTCGTTAACTCGTGGTCTCGTTTTAAGACGTTATTACTACGATGATCGAATACCGCCTTATTACCGACTCGTACCACTTCACGTCGTCTTCCATCAAAATGGAGTCGAGTCTAACGTAAGCTACACGTTAAGGAGGGGAAGATGGACGAGTGTTTCACTTGCATTTTATTAACGTCACATTTTAGACGGTTCATTACTTAATATACCCATACCCTTTTTCTCTCTCTCTCTCTCTCTTTCTATATATATTTTGTTTATTTTTATAATATAAAATATATTAAATTTCAAGAGTTCAAATTCAAAATTGAAATTCTTCAAAATAACACACAAGAATTAATTACACGATACATTGTATACAATTGTGTTATGACATTATTTAGTTACACGGTATTATATCCGCATCACTTCATCTAACATAAACTTAAATTGCTCATAACTCATCCATAAATAATCCGACCAAATAATCCACCTTCAAAGCCACGAACATAGAGGTTCAGCTTTAAACCCGTATATACGTAAGTTTCAACTATTTACACATCACGTCGTATCTCTTCCATAATGGAATTCTCCGAATTCTCGTTCAACCTACATAAATCGAAAAATTGACACGTTCTTTCAGAACGAAAGGCGAGAAAAAGAAATAAATAAACGAATAAAGAAAGAGGATGAAAAATGGTACGATAGCCTTGTTGTTGTTTCGCGGTGTGCGTGAACACGGGACACGCAACAGAGCGTAACGTATGGCCGTGTGCTTTTTTATGCGTCTGCGGATGAATCGGTAACGGCATTTTTCGCCAAGTGACGATAAATTACAGCGGTCGTGGCGACGTGTGCAGTCATCCGCGCGAGATATGCGCGCGATAAATTCGATGGATAATCGGTCGGAATGGCGCCGTCCTGGAGGAGAGGGGAGGCACAGTCGAAGGAATTATCCAATTCTTCTCGTTCGACTGTGATCTCCGTTCATTTTGAAGGGAATCGGATGAACGGGAGAAAAAAATGAGTTTTCGTTCATAGCATTCTAATTATTATTAATATCCATTCATTTGATTCATTATATTTGCCATTTCGTCCCAAATTGTATAATCTGTTAAAGTCCAAACTGAACTGAATATTTTAAATATTGCACAATGTATGCCTAAACTCATGCTATTGCTCGAAGCGCCACCTACTGCCATAGTGTATTAGTATATTATATATTATAGTATATATATATTATATATTATAGTGTATAGTATATTATATATAATCGTTTATATTACGGGAAAAAAGGAATTTGTTTCTCGTTCGTGGCATTCTAATTATTTTTAATATTAGTTCATCTGATTCATTATATTTGCCAT